AGCCCTTAGGAGGAAATGGAGGTAGAGGCTCTTGGATTGTCTTGGTTTCTCTGTCCAAGTTCTCCAGTTCTTTGGGCATGTTCTCTTTAGCCTGTATCCCAAGGTACGTTCATTTGTGCCTGGCAGGAGTGTCTGAGGCCTGTAGATTCTCTATTCAACATGACCCAAAGGAAAAAGAATGAATCGGCCCATGTGAAGCAGCCCTTCCTGCCTTATGAGACCCTCGGTCTCACATATGGAGGGTAAGGAGGCCTGGAGACTGGATCCTGGGAAGTGTGACCACCTTCCCTAAACATCCTGCTACAAGAGAGCTACTTTGTTTTGTTTTTCTCTTTTTGAGACAGAGTCTCATTATGCAGTTCAGGCTCACCTACAGTTCACTTTGTAGTCCAGGCCGGTCTTGAATGCACCATGATCCTCCTGCCTCAGCCTCCTGAGGGCTGGGATTATAGGTGTGTACCACCATACTCTGCAAGAGAGCTACTTTGAAGTAGGGCCTGATCTTTTTAAAGTTAGAGGCAGGTCACTCTATTCATGGTGCAGGGAACAAAGACTTTGACTTTTAGTTTTTGTGAGGGCAGCAGGCACCACACCAGCTCTTAAAAGTACATTAGGAAGACTTTATACATTTGGAAATATGTTAGCCATAAGTACTAACCACTCAGTAAATCACTCTCTGGTTCCTCTGGAAGGGACATCTCAGTGAGAGCTACAGCATGGTCATTCCGGTGTTTTATTTGAGAATGCTTAGAAGGATGGGATGGAAAATAGAAGGGTTTTATTTTTATTTTCTTTGGTACCAGGAATTGAACCCACGACCTCACCCTCGCAAGGCAGGTGCTGTGCCACTGAGCTATATCCCCAACCTGAAAATAGAAGTTTAAGAAGCAGTGTGATGCAAAATGCTTCCTTTTGCGTGTGCTGACAGTGTTCCATGCACTTTGCCCGCGTAAAGGTCCACGCGCAGTTGTCACTCCCCTTTTCCCAGAATTCCTTTCTCATGTCACACACTTTCCCAGCCAGGCTAACCTCAGTGGTGGCCTCTTCCTTGAAGACCTCCTGGAGTTTTTCCAGCTCACCCATGCCTTTTTGCTGTCTGAGCACCTTAGATACTTAACCAAAGTAAGCAGTGATACTGTATAAACTCAGAGTAAGACTTTACTACAGCTCTTGTAATGTGAGCTTTTGGTTCCTGGCGATGAAACAGAGTATTTCCTGTTATAAATTTAATATATGAAGGGGTGCTCAGAGTTACGTTTCCTTGTCTCTCTTTTCACAGTCAAAAAATAGCTAACATTGACTAATCTTTTAGATATATTCAACAGTGTGCTAAGCATTTTTCACGCATAACCTTATTTAATCCTGGCAGCAGTCCTCGCGGGAACAGAGTAGGTTGTCTGCACTCTACAGATGAGGAGCTTTGCCTCCCCTCAGCCACGGGCAGTGAATGCAGAAAAGCCCGGATTTTGAACTCAGAACTTTTTATCTTCAGAGGCCTTGCTCTCAAACACCACAGTATGCTCAAAAGATCTGGGTCATTTGATTTTACCTGGTACCAGACAAATACATGGGTTGGAAGCATATTTGGAGATTTCAGGTCATATGAGAAATATCTTTTGAGTCTTATCGCAGAATCTCTGAAACTGTATTCAGCCTCATTTGGAGAAAATGTTTGGGCTTCCCATTTGAGATCGTCTGTGAATGTGGCACTTGAACCAACCTGTGTCCGCTATTCAATTTGACACCCAGTATTCAACCATGTCCCTGTGCCACTCCTGCCGGGTGGCCAGGCCTGCCTGAAACACACACACACACACACACACACACACACACACACACACACACACAGGATCTCATCAGACACTGAGTACTAAAGCACTTACTATCATATCTCTATATTTTGAAAAATAAAAGCATTTGAGACTTCCAGTCTGTGACTCTCGCTGAAGACTGCAAAGTCCTTGAATTTTAAGTGGATTTCAGAAACTCATTTAGTGCTGCCGCCCTGCAAAATTGGATCTTCCCTTCTGTGCTGGGCAGTGGCAAGCAGAGAGAGAGCCAAGAAGTAGGATGAGTTTGGCACGGTGGCTCACTTGCCAGGGGCCAGGGTTTGGGTAGGTTCTGATCTTGTTTGGGACGCCCTTGAATGTACTTGCTTCCTTTTTCTAAAGTGTCCAAATGGGAGGGTGAATAGCAAATAGCCAGGGGAAAATGAGTCAGTGCGAAGGATAAAGCAGGTTTCCTCTGTGTGTGTCTGTCACTACCTGTGTAAGTAACCTTCTAGACACTGGGTCACCCGAAGGACCTAGATTTGAGTGTTCTTCACAGCTATCTGCTGCAGGTTTTCACTGTGTTGGTGCTTGATTCTAAGAGTAAATTAATAAGGCTCTGCAGGTCCGAGAACATCCCTGGTGGGCAAGCTCCAAAGCGCAGACTGGCTCCCTGCCTTCCCGCGTCCGCTCTGCCAGAAGAGGAACCCAGGCCATTGTTCCTTCCTCCTCGAACACAAAGAGGAAAGGACATGCTGGTCGTCCTTGGAGAATGTTGGGCAGGCTGGCCTTACTGAAGGTCAGGGATGGGCAAAACATCTATCTTTTCCCTGGAGATTTCCCTGAGACCAAAGTAGAGGGCAGAGATCAGAAACAGCGGGCTCCAGGGTATCATTTGGACAACAGGCTTGTTTATTTGCTGTACCAGAGTTCGCTGGCACCATATTTAAAACTTAAATTAGTTGTCAATTTTTTAAAAATCAGAACGTTTCGCATGAGGAAAATGGAAACATTTAGCTTTACTCAGAAAAGCGATGAACTGGGGCTAAGCAGGCACTGTGCCACCCAGAGCCAAGGGTTTGCCTTTTGTGTTGGTGGTGGTGCCGTCTGCTCCTCGGCCATCTGACCCAGACCACGCACGAGCCATCCCTGGCCGACGCGGCTCAGTTCACGCTGAGGCATAATGTTGCCGGTACCTTAGCTGTTGGAGTTTATGAGACTGGTGGTCAGAGGCCTTCTGCGCCATAGGAAGGTGTTTAGGCCTTGAGGAGGTTGCTGAAAACTGTCTGTGGTTCTGACACCTGGACAAACGAGGTGAGCCTTCGGTTTTAGAGGTCCCTGGTGCTTTGCCTCCTGTCCATCGAGTTTCCACCCTAAATCCATGTGAACTCTGCTCATGACGCGGGTGCAGCAGGCCGTGTGGATGAGAAGCCGAGTCCCAGGCACGGGACACGGAGATACCTCAGGGCAGAGCTGTGCAGGAACCACCCTGTAGGGGATTTGGAAGGAAAACAGTGCAGGGGCCTGAGCTCCTGGGCAGGTAATAGGGCTGCTGATGCAGAGAATGAGAGCGACATCAGCCGTATTAGGATCGTGGTCACCGGTGCAAATAGACCACAGCTCACTTACAAGCGTTCCAAAGGAGAAACACACAGCGTGTAAGGAATTCATTTCCCATCAGCATAGATTTGTTTGTAAAATTAGCATCATGTTTGTATGTAACAGCTACTACGTAAACTTGCACAACCCCATCCTAGACAGCAGTCCCTCTCAGAATAGAAAACCTCTGTCTCCTTCATGGTTGTATTCCTAGCACCCAAACCACACCTATTACGCAATGCGTGTGCAATAAATAATTACTGAATCAATTAATCAATAAATTAGTTAAAGATAAACAGAAATGATTTAAACAACTCTTTTTAAAAGCTCAATCAAAAATAAATAAATAAAAACTCAGTCATAGCCGGGGATATAGCTCAGTGGCACAGAGCCTGCCTGCCAAGTGCTAGGTCGTGTGTTTGATTCCCAGTATTGGAAAAAAAAAGGTCCACAATAAAGTTTTGCTCATTTAAACCTATTTCCTTTATTTATCTGTTTTCCATCCCTCCTTGGTAGCCATATACTCTACACAGGCTAACTATTGCATTAGATTGATTGATGTAGTAGTACATGTGGTTCTGGATTAGAAAGATTTTTCTGCTTTAATCTCAAAGGGTTCAGACTCATGTGTAGTTGTTCTGAAGGATCAGATTGCTGGAGGGGTTGTCTCTGTGGTAGGGGTGAGAATGCCGTTCAGAGTCAGTAGTTTCCTGCTCTGCTTCTGCTGATCCCCGAAACTTTCTGGGGGCTGCTCGAGGGGTGGGAGCTGGTCAGGCGTTGAGGCCATTGGAAGATTTTGCAAATAATAATACATGCTTTGTAAGTTTCATATAAGTCATAAGTGAATGCTTTAGTTTTGTAACATGAATAAAGATGCACATAATGTAAAAATAATTCAATTCTCTCTGCTTCCTTAAATCCACTCCGTTTCTCAAAAGTGATCATTGGTAATTTTTATATATACCATTTAAAACTTTTTTCTGTGTAGTTGTAGCACAATACTGTATATTTATGAAGACAGGATTCTTTAAAAACATAAATTGGATTATACGATAGGTAATGCTGAATAATTTTTCAAAAGTGGCAGAGCCTTGCATCTTGGAGAAGGGGATCTCGACGCATATGTATTTGTGTAATCTTTTAATTACAGCATGGTATTCTGCCATATGTATGTATCTTAGCTTATTTAAGTGTTCTGTAATCCATGGACAGTTAGCTTGTTTTCAGTTTTTCACTGCTAAGAATAATGCCACAATGAACATTTTTGCCCTTCCTCTTTGTGAAAATATACAAGTCTTTCTGTAGAAAACATGCCCTGAATTACAATTGCTGGTGTAAAATATGCGCATGTAAAATTCTGAAAGCTACTTCAAATTTGTTCTTCCGAAAAGCTAAACCAATTTACTCTTTTGCCAGTAGGACTGGAGATTAACTCTTTCACCACTCCCCTGCCTAGAGTAGGTATTACCATGCTTTTGGAATGCCTTTGAGATTTGTGCACAAGTAAAATCCCATTGTACTTCTAAGTAATAGCCTTGCTTCCCCACTAAGTAGAGCTTGGTACACTGGCTGATGGGCCTTTGGTTTCGCATTCCCTCTGAGTTTAAGTGCCACTCTGCCCTCCTTTTGCAGACGCTCACTACCTCACCTGCAGGATCCAGGAGTGTGCCGAGACAACTCGGAGTGGCCCCTTTGCCCGCTCCATTGACGTCAGCTCTCTGGTTGTCCAGGATGAATATATCTTCATTCAGGTGAGTGCAGAAGGTGCAGGCAGTGGGGGGCAGAGGAGGAGGATTGCTGCCTCCTGGGAAAGTGAGGAAGACTTTCCCCAGGCTGTGCAGGTGCAGAGCTAGGCCACTGACCCTTTCTTTCACAGCGGGCTAGCCCAACCTCCTTCTGCAGGCTGAAGGTGCTACGGCCCAGTGTACCTTGTAGGGTGTTCAGGGGCCGTCAGAGCCTCCCGTCTGATTGTGCTTTTTGAAAACAGAGCTATCTCCACGTAATCAGGTCTTGGGCTGGGGTTTGAGGTTTTATGAAGTCAAGTGTCTAATAATCTTCGACTTCAAGTAATTTATTAAAGCCACGTTCTATTTTGGTTCAAAGTGATTTGTCTAACATGGAAATGAAAGTCCCATTAAATTAGGAATCCGTAGGGTTTTGGTTCTGGAAAAGTGAAGAACTCACAAAATCTTCCCCTCTTTCCAGTGCTGGCCTCACCCTCAACTGTGCAAGTCACAAATCCTTTACTTCTAGAACTCTGATCCTTAGAGCAAAAGAGGTGGAACATAGCATTTTTAGGCAGGTGAAGGGTGCGTCTTTTGAGGTTTTGAGTTTTATGGCTTCTAGGAGGTACTAGGAGGAGGCACAAAATAGAGCAAAAAGCAGGGGAAGAGAAAAAGAGACTCTCGGACATGTGCAGGTGCGTGAATACGTGTGGGTGACAAATTCAGCTTGGCATTGGGTGAAAACCTCGAATTTCTCCACTTTGCTTTTCCATCATTTTTCTCTTGACTGTTTTGTACAGTTTCCCACAGGAAACTTGAACCTAGACACCTCTCTGGGTTTTCTCAGACCCAAGGACATGCTTAGCCTCTGCCTGAACCCTGGCCTTTTAGTGTGGTTCAGTCCCGTGTGCTCTATGAGCCAGTGTATCAACATCCCAGCTCCCTGTTCCTCACCTTCCTGTGCACCTGTGTAGCTTTCGGGTCTACAACGACACCATTCCTCTAGCACGCAGGCCTTGAGGAGCCGTTGCTCACTAAACCAGAGTAGATTTTTCTTTCCTCCAAATTCCACTGTGCGCTGTCTGAGGGTAGAGACAGTAGTTTGTACTTACATTCTGCTCCCTCATGCTTGATCTTACTGTGACATCTTTGCAAATCAGGGTGTTTAATGGACACTTTCACATTTGTGGGTTTGGGTGAGGTGTATAACAGTTATAGTTACTTCTTTCTACAAGTCAGTCACATGGAGTTTTTTTTTTTTTTGCAATACTGGGGATTGAACCCAGAGCCTCCTCACTGAGCTACATCCCCAGCCCACTGTCATCATCATCATCATCACCATCATCATTTGAGACGTGGTCTCACTAAATCACTGAATTACCTACGGTGGGCTTAAAATTAAGATCCTCCTGTCTCAGCCTTTCAGAGTGTTGGGATTACGTATGTGTGCCACCATGCCTGGTATTTACATAGATTTTTGAAGTTAAGGAAAATACAGGAAAAGTAGCCAGGTACTCAAAAACCAACTTGAAAGATGAAGTAAAGCAGAAAATCTCTGAAACTTAAAAAAATTCCATTTCAGTTCAATTTAAAGCCAGAAGCTCAGGGCTATTTCTCTAAGTCTTGGCAGGTCAACGTCACTGTCACGATCTCATTTGCAGGTATTTACTGAACAAGTACACTGCAAAATACACGATGCTGGTTCCTGCTCTTGGTGTTTCCAAGGTTTCTGTCCTTGGCCCACTTCTTTGTGCCTCCAGACTCACCACCTTAGCAATCTCTTGGCTTTGAGCATCATCTCCATGTTCTGATGACCCTCATGTTGGTCAGCCATGACCTCTACCATGTCCTGAAGACACATGGACCTGGGAACTATCTCCACACTCCAGCATGGATGTCCCACAGGACACAACAAGATCAATAGGCTCCTTTCACCCCGACACAATCGGTGACATGACCTTCAGAGTAGAAGGGTGATGGTCAGTCTATGTTGCCAAAATGAATGAATTCAGCCTCTGCTAAAATTACCCCTATTTCTCGGGTCATTCTTTTTCATTCGAGTCCTTCCCCGTCTTAGAATCCCCACCCACTGCTCTTCTCTCTTTCTCTTTAGTGAAGTGTTTCTACAAGAAGATGCTCACAGATGATTTATGAATTTACCAGTCTGATTGCCCTTTCCTTAGTGCTAACATTGTACACAATGATGAACCATGACAGAATCGTCTCTGGGAAACATGACTTAAGCCTTGAAATGATCATGTTTTTTCCTTGTGTTGCATAAAGTTTTCTGCAACTCTGCAGGTGGATAACCAGATTTTTAAAGTTCTCCCGAAACACTTCTTTTCATATTATAGTAGAAGTACTTTTAAAAAATCAGCAACATTTTGTTTCATTTGAAAGAGATGTGAAGTTTCACCATTCCATAAAGTTTTATTCATTGCCTAGGCCTCTGTCCTGCATGCTGGGGTTAAGGCAATGGACACAACAAAGTTCCTGCCTTACTGGCACTAATTCAGGTGGGAGAAAGGGAAAACATATGTACAGATATATACATCTGATGGCTCATAAGAATGTGTAGAGCCCTACAGCTGGTAGTTTTTCAGACTGTGGTTTGCCATATTTAGATGTGGGACTTTGAGCTTTGCTCCATTTCACCTACTTTTAACAATAATATAATTGTAACATCTACCCCATGGATTGCTGGGAGGATCACATTTGTTAAATGTACCTGTAAAATGCTGAAACAATGCCTGGAACCTAGTGGCGTATGAATGTTTGCTATCTCTCTGTCTTCCACTATCATCTATTTACCTGTCTACAAAATATACCAGATTATGACAAGTGCAATGGATAGGAATGGCTATGAATGTTGGCAGTGGTAAGGTGTTGCCATTTGGCTTAGGGTCACCTGGAAAGGCCTCCTTCTGGTTATCAGGAGGCCACACAGTCAGCAGCAAATGTAGAACCCAGGTTGTTGGGCCCTGGCCCTGAGGCAGGCTGATGTGTGGTAAGCTGTTAGGAATTGGAGGTTGGGTGTAGGGTAGAGGTGGTCAGGAGGTCCTGGCTGAGTCTGGAGCCTGGAAGGTTGATGATAGCTTGCATATCATTAAGATTTTGCACATCATTTTGAAGTCACAAGATGGAAATCATCAAGGAATTAAGTATAAATACAAAAGAGAAGTAATTTAAACATCAGACCAAAGGGCAGTCTGGTATTCACAGTTCAGGGAGATGAGAAGGAACCAGCAAATGAGGCCCTGACTGAGAGCTGAGGGCTGAGGTCAGAAAGGAGGTAGGATGCAGCACCCACTGGGCCCTTTGGCGGCTGTTTCAAGGACTTCATTTTTCACTATCAACGAGATAAGAAAAAATGGATTAACAATGCCCAGGGTAATGCAGAAGCCCGTTAACTTGAACATAAACATTTGCAGCTATCAACTGGTTGTGACTGACATTAAATAAAGGAATGAAGTAGGTTGAAGTGTACACATAGCACAGGCATAAACATAGATTGGTTAGCCACCTGTGTGTAAGCAGCCCTTTCCTCCTTGAAGGTGAATTTTGCCATTTGCGCTGCTAACTAGAACACATGTGCCTTAGTAATGGGAGTGTAGGCTTAGAGTTCAATTGTGGTTACTTTTTCTTAATTCTCATTATATGGTCTGTTTCTTGCCTTCTGATGTGTTACTTTGATACTCTTTATTATTTGCATTTTAGTTCTGCTTATCTTTATGAGTATAACTTTTGTGTCACATACCAAATCTTCTATTTTCAGAATATATCCATGGATACCCTCCTGTAAACAATTATAAAATTAATGTATTTCCATGCATTCCATTTTCTTCTCATTGCTCAAGTTCTTCTACCATGCAGCATTGATTTATTATAGTATTTTCTAGTGTTTGCTTTACTATCATAAAATGTTATTCTGCTGGGCTTAAGTATTTGGTGAAACACTACTGAGGAAATGTGAAAAAAAACCCATAGTGTGCATTCATGACCTCTCCCTCCATCCCTTCTTCCAACCTATCCTTATTCATGAAGCCATTTAGAGCATATATATCCTATCCTGCACTGCTCTTCCACATTAATTAGATCTCAGATTCATAGGTCTACGTATTCAGTTGTAGCCACCAGTCCTCTTCTGCAGTTTTCCCACTTGGATCTGGATTGCCTGAGTTTGCCCTTTAGTAAAGTCTCACAATCAGCTGATTCTTGAATCTTAGAAAGTTTGTTTACCCCCCTTTCTGCTTTAATATTATACTTAAGGGTAGACAATGCATGTGTTATTCTTTCTATGAGAATTTTGCTGTTCATTTTCACATTTAATGTATTGGGCCAGTTAGTGATTTTCCTCTTTTAGGTGTCTTGTTTTGTTGCATTGGGGGGTTGTTTTTGCCTTCATTTACCTTGGATAACTAAAGTCCTTTTTTCTTTGTATTGAACACCAGTTACTTACTAGTGTATTTCTGTGATTAACATGTTGTGTCAATCTTTCCCCTTGCAATACGAGTCTCTATCACTCAATGGATTCATTTTCTTCCATTCTCAATTTCTTATAAGTTTGTGACATATCTTGAATTACTTATTTTATTTCAGGTTTGTTGCTTTTGTTATTTTCCCTTGGAGGCCAGGAAGTACATACTAGATAAGAAAGAACAAAGATGAATATTATTTCATCCCATCCTCATTTGAGCAAACTGAGTAAAATGAGAAATAAAGACAATCTTATGCTGGCATAACTGTTTAGTAGTGTTCAATATCTAGGCTGTGTTTTGTCTTTTTTTTTCCTGCCTTACCATCTTTTCTGAACTTTGTCGGATCATATTTTGTCTCTTTTTGTTATCTCAACATATCTTCCCTGAACTCTTGTATTTCTGTTTTAAATTCTTCTCTTACAGAGGTAACCTCCCTGTGTAGGTTTTTCTTGAACTTTTTTTATTTTAAAAAGAAATAAAAAATAATAAAAATGATACAAAATTTCAAAACAAGATGATAGGAGATTAACAATAGTTATTATATTGCAT